ATCCCCACTCGGTGTGACTTCTTCATTCTTTCTTGAAAATCCACTTAAAAGTAATATTTTTTTCATCCTTAGGTCGTTTGACCAGCTTCCAAGTGCCATTCTTGAGAAGTGATTTGATCTCTTTTTTCATTGCAACGAGCCAGTGAGCGAACTCACTACATGAAACCACTTCTTTGTATGTGGTCTTTCACCTCATCAGCGACTTGTAAGGCATAATTCACCATATCCTCAAAGATAAATCTCGAAGGAGGCTTCACACCTATCCTCCTTGATCTATCAACAACTATACTCGTTTGGCAAGCATCTGGAACATCTGAACTAGTACTTTCAGATATAGTATTTTCAAAAGTATGAGCATCCAGTGTGAAAACTCAATGAAATAGCAAACTAAATTCAAGACATATCAATATAGTATATTATACTTATAATAAAACATATGCTATATGTCTTGTAACGATTTACTAATTATTTTAAATTAATGTGTTAACTTAGTAATATGTTATGTGTTTTGTGATGTTTTGCTAATTACGCTAGGTTAGTTTGCTAATTTGGTCAATTAGCATGGTGTTAACCGCTGTCTAATATAATAAGTATATGGTTAACGATTAAATAAATAAGCATGCACTTTTTATAAATAAGGTTATAACATGAGATATTTCGATTAAATTTTTATATAAATATGTAATTACATTAAATAATATACTATATATGGAACTAAAGTTGAACATGTAATTGCTAGTTTCTAAACTCTTTTAAATACTTTTTAAATATAGACATATATTTAAATATAACATTGTATGGATTAATGTTTAAAATATAATTTTTAGTGAATTAAATGTTTTACAATATAATTTTTAGTGAATTAAATGTTTTACATGTATATTACATAATTTAACGCATAAGTTCTCTTATAATATTAGACGAATATTTAAGGGTGTGTTGCTTTAGAGTGTTTTAAAAAAAATTGGGTTTGAGTTTGATTTTTATTTAAATTTTAAGATATGTTTGAATTTTTGTTTTTTTGTATGTAAGTTTGCTTTGGATTTGGAGAGTTTTAATATGTATATATTTAATAAGTACTAAATATAATAATATAAATATGTATTAAAATTTAATTTTTAAAATTAATAATAGTATGATTTGATTATGAATTTATATTATATCTACATATATATTTTTAAAATTTAATTTATTTGTATTAAAAAAAATATTTTCTACAAAATGACATATATATTATATATATTTCATTAAGTTATAATTATTATAAATATCAAATAAATGATTATCTGGGTTTTGCACGGCCGTGCAAAAAATTTATACTTCAATTTCTTTTTAATAAAAAAAAAAGAAAGAAAAAACATTGTCAACGTTGTAGCCTTACAGTACCCTACTCCTATCATAAGGTGTCGGCCACGGGTAGTTTCACTCCATTGCTCCGACCAACAATAATCAAATACTCTCTCCGTCCCATATAATTTGTCCCTATTTTCTATTTTCGTCCGTCTCACATAATTTGTCCTTTCTATTTTTGAAAATATAATATAATTATGTACTTTAATCACATTTTAAATTTTAAATTTTATAATTTTCTTAATTTTAATTAAACTATTTAGTTATATTAATCTTAATCTATAATTATTTTTACTAAATAAATAATTAGTTTTACTAATACACTTCTTAATTACTTACTAATTATATTTTACCTAAATTCCCGTGTCTACCGTAATACACCCATATTACATGGGACGGAGGGAGTAGTAAAGAAGTCCAAACTCGGTGTAAAGAAACACACACTAAATAAATAGAATGCCAATTTTGCATAGAATGCATGCATAAAACATAAAAGTAAACGCATCTCATGCATAAATCATAAAAATTAATTGCATAATTATATTGAATGCATTGGTACATAATTAAACACGATAAAATATCGAATGAGTAACTAAATAAACCAATACATGAATTGCATAAACATTTTGGGGAAAAACAAAAGACATTTTGTATGCATTAAAAATGTAATTAAATGGAAAAAGGAGCATCACATGCATGCATAAATAATATATTGGCAATGAATAAAACTTGCATAAAAGTAACCAATCTCATTTAAAAAATAAAAAAATTAATTGCATTATTTGCATGCATGTACATAATTAAACACATAAATTTACATATAATATTAAATGAATAACCAAATAAAGAAAATACATGGATTGCACAAAAATTTGAAAGGAAAAAAAAAAAAAAAAAAAAGACTTCATTCGTCCAATTTGATTAGATATAGTATTAAAAAGTAATAATATTTTAATATTAAAATAAGTAAGTAAAAACTAAAGTAAGGTTACTATTATAAAATTTTTTATTAAAAATTAGTAAAAAGGTAATAGAGTAAGTAAAAAATAAAATGACAAATTAATTATTATCTATTAACTACGTAAAAGTAATTAAATTGAAGCTGGATAAAATTGTTTACAACAAGTAAAATATGCATAAATTTAGTAAATATCCGAAAGAGAAGAAATAATATAATTTTAGCCAATAAAGAAAAAAAGTATATATATTTCACATACATAAAAAAAAAAAAAAAAAAAAAAGAATTATCAAATGGAAAAAGGACATAACATACATATATAATGTATTTGCAATTAACAAAAAAATTGGACTCTAATCCTATGCTAAAATTACTAAAATAAATTGTTGGGAAGTGATTAACAAACGAAACACCTTCGAACACTTCGATAATGGTCAACTCTCGAAATCTGGTTAGTTCACAATTTAAAGAACACCTTGACAACAAGTAAAGATGCAGAACTCAAAACAACAAATGAGACAAAGCATTTGTTGATCCGATTCGGTTATGAATCAACCTACATCCGAGGATACCAATCCAATAAAGATTCCACTAATCAATACTGATTATAGAACATAAACAACTACAACTCTTTCAACCAAAACTTCTATCATGGTTAACCTAGGAAAATACCTCTTCAGATTCACGTTGTCACAAACTCGTCTTGACAACAACCATATAACAAAGCAGCTCAGAGCCTAATTATCATCTCCGGTTTAAACTCCTTTATCCCCGATCACCGTTAACCTCTCCGGTGGATTTCAATGTAGAACACTCATTCAAAATGAGGATAATCGATATGAATGGGGGTGAGAGCTTCACACATTTTTTCTCTTTCTAAAACATGCTCTCTAAACTCACTCACAACCATCCACTTTGTTTCTTTCGATTATATATCCCATGCACCATACTCATTTAATTCAATCAACACCGGATCCGCCGGCCGCGGCCAATATATATACTATTCTCTTTTAAAAGTTAATATTCAATCCATAATATTATCTTTATATTATTAATACGATTTTACATTACTTTATGTAAAAAAAGATATTTCAGAAAACACTAATCAAACACACACCTATTAAGGTGGAAAAGATAATATGGAGTATGGGATGGTTACGGTGAAAATTAGCACTATGCTGATATTTCACATCAACATGAGTTATATATACAAATAACACATATTAGTATTACATAATAATAAAGGTATGTGCTGTTTTTTAATAATAACAAGTGTGTTGTATACAAGTATGTCATGTGCTAAAATCAACTGTTGCGTGTGCTGTATGAGACTATAATATATGTTATTAGTTTACGTGTTGTATTTATATTATATTAACATATACAATATGCTCTTTGCAGTAATACTGTGTGTTGTCTGTAGTAATATTGTGTGTTGTTGAGACTATAACATATGTATTATATTCATGTATTGTATTTGTATTATATTAACCTATACAGTGTGTTGTTTGTAGTAATATTATGTGTTGTCTAATAGCACACGATGCATTGTTCAGCACTGTAGTCTGTCCCCATGAAGTATATTTGGACTGAAACGTTAACCACATTTATTCAGAAAACAAATATATATATATATATTTAATTAATTAATAGTCCTTGAAATCTTAGAAATTACACGTTTAGTCCATCCAAGAAAAGTAAAGTTGGCAATAATGCATGCAGTTGTTAGCTTTCAAAAAATTTGTCGTCCAACGTCAAATCGAAAGCGCGTTTCTAAAAATTTTGCAGGTCATACATAACAAGGAAATTTCCTTCGTTCGTTCCTATGGCTGTAGCCAAAACAAATTAAAGGCGGCTGGGCTGCCTGCATCTTTCTTTGTCATAAAAATCGCTACAACTAATTCTACCCTTTGTTATTGACCACACCATTTTTTAATTTAATTTAATTTCTTTGAAGAAAACTCTGCCTCAATTCAATTGTCATATCTCATATATGATTATTGCTTTTTTGCAATCTGACAAATTTTCAATCATTCACATTAATGAATAGTTAATTAACCCTATGTGTTGGTGAGATTTGAATTTTTTTTTTATTTAATTCTTGCTCTAAATGGGGGTATTACTAATTTAAAAAATAGTAAATTTAAAATATCACCAAGTGCAAGAGGGCAGTGTTTGATTACTCTATTGCTTACTCACCAAATTTGCTAGCTGTTGATTATAATGATCAGCCCACTATGGTTAAAAAATTATATCGTAAAAAAATAATAAAATAATAAGCAATGTCAATTTCTAACAATTTCAATCCATGTCAAACTGGTAATCTCTGGATTATACGTACACCATACTTAAGTGCATGGCACATAATTGAAAATTCCTCTGAAATTAAAAGTAAATGAAAATATTATTCATTATAACTAACTCTTGCGAGATCCTGGGAGTTCCACGCCGAATCCACGAAGACGCACGGCAGGATATGGATCTGGCGCTGAAGTCCAGGCGCCGTTAAAAAAATACACACGGTTGGTGTTTGTGGTATGAGCCGAGACATGCTAGCTAGTCAAACCTGCCCATTAACGTCGTACACCGTTAATTTGTGTACATAAATATTTTTTTTATTTTTTTATTTAAAAAATATTATCTATTGTGTGTATATATATATATATATATAAAGTTCAGTGGATCGTCTCTGCTTTTAAATCAACGCATGCACGAAACCTGTCTGAAACGACTTGGTAAGAAACTCCAATTCAAGTAACTGTATTCAATAGTCCATACACATAAAAATATATATATAGATATATTATCAGCTCCATCTTTGTTTCTCCATATACTGAAACAAATTAAATCTTTATTGTACATTTAGGTATAGATCTACTTTGTAAAGAGAGCGTTTCAATGCCTAATTCAGAGAGTAATTATCATCCCCACTCCGACACGGAGGTGGTCGCCGGTGATCGGACGGCGTACAGCGGGCCGTTGAAGAGGCCGGGGAGGAAGAGCGCGCGTTTCAATATTCCGGAGGGGGCGATGAACTCCGGCGGAAGCGGCGGTGCCGGCGCCGACGATTATGTGGAGATCACCCTCGACGTGAGGGAGGACTCGGTGGCGGTCCACAGCGTGAAGGCCGCCGGCGGCAGCGAGGTGGAGGACCCGGAGCTGGCGCTGCTGGCGAAAGGTCTGGAGAAGCGGTCGTCGTTTGGGTCGTCGGTGGTCAGAAGCGCGTCGTCGAGATTCCGGCAGGTGTCGCAGGAGCTCAAACGGCTGGCGTCCCTGACTCAGCGCCGAGGCCAGCCGGCGGGCCGGTTCGACCGTACGAAGTCCGCCGCGGCGCACGCGCTTAAGGGGCTCAAGTTTATAAGCAAGACGGACGGCGCCGCCGGCTGGGCCGGCGTCGAGAAGCGGTTCGACGAACTAACCGAGAAAACCGACGGGTTGCTTCCGCGGTCGCTGTTCGGAGAATGCATCGGTAAAGAATTTTTATTTTGTTTTCTATTTTAAAATTAGATTAAATAATCAAGATTAATTAAATTCCAGGAATGAACAAGGAGTCGAAAGAGTTCGCCGGCGAGCTCTTCGACGCGCTTTCCCGGCGACGGAACATCGCCGGCGGGAACATCACGAAATCACAGGTGAAGGAGTTTTGGGACCAAATCGCAGACCAAAGTTTCGATTCTCGCCTTCAAACTTTCTTCGACATGTAAGGCTGAATTTTAATTTTAATTTTCTGGTGAAGACTTTGTAAGAATCTCATACTCATTAATTTAATTTTGACAATTTCAACACCAACAACTCTTGGATTCAACGCAGGGTTGATAAAGATGCTGACGGCAGAATAACAGAAGAGGAAGTGAGGGAGGTACGCCGTACGCCCATCAAATTAAATAATTAATTAATTAATTAAACTGAAGCGCATTCAACGGAGAAAGTCACGTGCGATCAAAAAACTGACATCGCAGATCATAACTCTGAGTGCATCAGCCAACAAGCTGTCCAACATTCAGAAGCAAGCCGACGAATATGCGAGGCTAATCATGGAAGAACTCGACCCAAACGAGCTCGGATACATCATGGTATCAATTAATTAATTGCAAATTAGCAATAATCAAATAAAATTAATTTCAATTTGAATTTGAATTGAATGATCAGATAGAGAACCTGGAGATGCTGCTGCTGCAAGGGGCGAGCCAGTCGGCGCGGGGCGGCGGGGAGAGCCGCAACCTGAGCAAGATGCTGAGCGAGAAGCTGCGGCGGAGGCAGGAGAATTTGGTGCGGAGATGGGCGAGCGATTTGCGCTACTTTCTGGCGGACAACTGGCAGCGTGTCTGGGTGATGGCATTGTGGGTAGCTGTAATGGCCGGGCTCTTCTCTTACAAGTACATCCAGTACAAGAACAGGGCCGTGTTCCACGTGATGGGCCACTGCGTCTGCCTCGCCAAGGGCGCCGCCGAGACGCTCAAGCTCAACATGGCCCTCGTTCTCCTCCCCGTCTGCCGCAACACCATCACTTGGCTCCGCAACAAGACCAAGCTCGGCGCCGCCGTCCCCTTCGACGACAACCTCAACTTCCACAAGGTAAGTAATTAACCAATTCATTCATTCATTATTCTTCTCTCTCTTTATATATATAAATATATTTTAAAAAAATATATTACATATTTATGGTAATTATTTTATTTAAAATTCTAGGATTCTTACCGGATTTTATATTCTAACAATAAATAATGCATATTCATTCAGGTGATTGCCATGGCGATCGCGATGGGGACGGGAGTCCACGCGATAAGCCATCTGGCGTGCGACTTCCCGCGGCTGCTGCAGGCGACGGCGGAGGAGTACGAGCCGATGGAGCCGTTCTTCGGGGAGGAGCAGCCGACGAGCTATTGGGAGTTTGTGAAGGGATGGGAGGGGGTGACGGGGATCATAATGGTAGTCCTCATGGCCATAGCCTTCACGCTGGCCTCGCCCTGGCTCAGGCGGAGCCGAGTCCAGCTGCCCAAGCCGCTCCATAAGCTGACCGGCTTCAACGCCTTCTGGTATTCGCACCACCTCTTCGTCGTCGTCTACGCCTGCCTCATTATCCACGGCATCAAACTCTATTTGACCCACGATTGGTACAAGAAAACGGTACGCACGATTATACATACATTATACATATATATATATAAATAATTAAATTCATTATTTATTATTATTACTACTATTATGTGCAGACATGGATGTATCTGGCAGTTCCGATTACTCTGTACGGCGGCGAAAGGCTGATTAGGGCATTCCGGTCGAGCATCAAGTCTGTCAAGATTTTGAAGGTATACATACATACATATTTTTATTTATATTATAAATTTATAATTTCATTTGATTGTCAATATAACGATAACAATACTGATATTAATGGAAATGAAATATATATAAATATATATATATAGGTGGCTGTGTACCCAGGAAATGTGCTGACACTGCACATGTCGAAGCCACAGGGCTTCAAGTACAAAAGTGGGCAGTACATATTTGTCAACTGTGCAGCTGTCTCCCCATTTGAATGGTGAGCGAGTTCTCATGTACATATGATATAGTTAGTGCAAACTCCATTATATATTACTTGTCCATTTTTATTCAAATTCAATAATAGTACTAATAGTCATAATGGGCAGGCACCCCTTCTCCATTACGTCAGCACCCAGGGATGATTACGTCAGTGTCCACATCAGGACACTGGGCGATTGGACCAGACAACTCAAAGTTGTCTTCTCTGAGGTAAACCAAACAAACAAACAAACAAACAAAAATCATATCAAACTGACTAATAATATTAGTATAATAATAAATTTAGAATATTTAGATAGGGAGTAATTCATAGAAATATCTATCTCAATTATTATTATTATTATTATTATTTATTTATTTTATATTTTTTTTTTTGTGGTGTGTGTTAGGTATGTCAGCCCCCACCTAACGGAAAAAGTGGCCTTCTCAGAGCAGACTACTTGCAAGGAGAGAATAATCCCAAGTAACCTCTCTTTCTTTTTCCCTACCTAAAATTTTGAATTCGATTTTTATATATATCTGATTTTTTATTAAATAGACAATCATATCATTCATTCTAACCATATTAGTGTGTAATGTTTGCATCTTATCTTATTCATGTGCTTAGCTTGTCTTTATGTGTGATAATTTTTAATGTTATTTCAGAAAGAATGACAACATATAGTAATAATAGAAAAATATCTAGGGTTAGTTCCATACATAGCATCATATCATAGCCCCTAAATATATTTTTTTACTATTTTTTTATTAAAATATAGGAGTATTATTTTATTTTTAAAAAATATTGCATTAAATAAAACTATATATACTTTGAGGTGCACTAGTATTTTAAATTATTTTGAAAGTAGTAAAATAATTTAATGAAAATGAAAAATTGGGTCATGTTTATAGATATATATATATATATATATTTGAAACTTTTATTACTATTTATCAACGGTATTTTTCATAAGATATTTAATTTTTTATTATTTTTAAAATTTTATAAAATTTCAAAAATTTCTATTTAAATGGAATCTTGGATGTTTTAAATAGATAAAAAATATATATATATTTTTAATATAATATCTAAAACAAAAATAAGTTTTATAAATAAGTATATGTATTTTAATTTTGAATTTTTCAATTTATGAAAAGAAATAGTAATATATTTTTAAATTGAAACCGAACTCTAAATGAATATATATAGTAATGGAATAATCACGAAAAGTAGTTATACATAATTTGACTTTTGGATTCATTAAAATTAATTATTACTTGCAAACTGTAGTAAGACAATCCATCTAATTCCCATAACGACCGTACATACAAACTTTCCAGCTTCCCTAAAGTTCTCATCGACGGTCCGTACGGGGCGCCAACGCAAGACTACAAAGACTACGACGTCGTTTTGCTAGTCGGGCTTGGCATCGGCGCCACGCCGATGATCAGCGTGGTGAAGGACATCGTGAACAACATGAAAGCCGTGGAAGACGAGGCGAACGCCGTCGAGGAGGGGGCCTTGGCCCCGGCCCCCAATGCAAGCCCCGTGAGCATGAGCATGAGCAAGCAACGCAAGGGGGCTTCGTCGGGAAGCGGGAGGCAGGCGAGCTTCCGGACGCGGCGGGCCTACTTCTATTGGGTGACGAGGGAGCAAGGCTCGTTCGATTGGTTCAAGGGGGTCATGAACGAGGTCGCCGAGATGGACAACAAGGGGGTCATCGAAATGCACAATTATTGCACGAGCGTGTACGAGGAAGGCGACGCTCGCTCGGCCCTCATTACGATGCTACAATCTTTAAATCACGCCAAGAACGGAGTCGACGTCGTGTCCGGGACACGTGTCAAGTCCCACTTCGCCAAGCCAAATTGGCGGACTGTATACAAGAGGATTGCACTCAATCATCCCAACTCAAGAGTTGGTAAGTCTTTTTCTTACATTAAGATCATATGCAATCGGTACCTACAAAAAGTTTTTGTCATTCAATTCTATTTCGATTCTCTTTGTAAAATACAAAGAGAATGAGAGCAGAATCGGATGACGATCTATTTAACGATGTTCTTTTTTATTATACGCTAATTCTACATTAACATAATCATACCATGAATTTTGACATGTTATTGATATGCCCTTCAATTATAGTACTGATTGAAAATTTATCAGTATCATGCTGATTGTTGATTCTCTTAATCAAACATATTATAGATAGTCAATAAAAATTTAAGCCGATAACATATGTAAATATATATATATTTTTTTAATGACGTAGAAATTCGTAGCTGCTACCATTAGTTATATTATATGTATATCTAATATGTTGTTTGATATGTACGTACAGGTGTATTCTATTGTGGGGCCCCACCACCAGTGAAGGAGCTAAGACAATTGGCCTCTGATTTCTCCCACAAGACGAACACCAAGTTTGAGTTCCACAAGGAAAATTTCTAACCATCCATGTCTATATAAATTATATATTATATTATATTATATTATATTATATTATGAATCGGATAGAGGCAAACCAAAGCCACGAGTAGTGGAGGGAATTGAATTAAATTCCACTAAAGGATATTTATTTGTTTATTGCTGTCATTATTATATCACTAATTTTTTTTTTTGCTTTCTTTATAGTATTATCTTAGAGTGACGTGAGGAGGGGTCATGCTTGTATCAGCGAAGGATAAATAATACTCCCTTTGTCCCATGTACCATGTCTATATTGTCGTTTCTGTCCGTCCCATATTCCATGTCGCTTTATTTTTTTGAAAATGATTATACATTTTAATCTCATTTTAAATTTTTTAACTTATTTTTTTAAAATTTTAATTAAACTAATTAGTTATTTTAATCTTAATTTATATATAATTATTTATATTATAAGATAATTATTTTCACTAATACATTCTTAATTATCTACTAATTATACCCCTCCTAAAATACCGTGTCTACAGCGTAGCAGACACCGTACGTGGGACGGATGAAGTAATAATAATGCTAGTACTGGCTATAGCTAGTTTTGATATTCCTATATGATTGGTAATTATGTATATTTTAGTATATTATTAATTCTTCTTCTCTAAGAATGAGGTAATAATAAGATATAGTCAATGTATGGAAATCTTCTATGTATTACGTACGTATAAATGTATGGAAAGTTGAAATCTTCTATGTATTAAGTACCAACGTATAAAAGTATGGAAACCAAAATAACATAATAAATTTGTTGTCTTGTTCGAATTGTTATATTTTAAAATTGTTATAGAATTACAAAACTAATGGACAACAACTATGTGTTATAATATTTATTTTTATATGATTTAAAATCAATAAAATCAACTAAATTTTTTGAAAATTCTCTACTATTTCTTCCTCTAAAAATTGTATGAAACTTTTTTTTTTTTAGGGTAAATTTTATGTTATAATAAAAAGTAATTTAAAATATTCAAAATATTAGATTAATACTATTTCTATCAAAATTCAAATAATTATTTAAAATCTAAATATACTCTTAACAAAAAATTTAACGATTTATTTTAGTTATTTTTTTGCATATTATATAATATATATATATATATATTAAAAGGACAAAAAGTAAAATGTATTTTATTTAATTGATTCATTGCACCAAATACAAAAGAAATTGGAGTATATATATAAATATATAAAATACCAAGGGGTAGTGAGGTGAGGTGAGGGTGCTCCTTCCCAAGCTAGGTCCGCCCTATATATATATATATCTATATATATATACACATCCAATGTATATAGAGTGGAATCTCCACCATTACGATGTTGGAGATCTAGTACCCATGGAATAGAATTTTGACAGGGACAAAAGATTCCATTGGTGCTGGTATTGTAAAAAAAAATAATTTACAAATATTTTTATAATATGAGAATTTATTTCAAAACTTTTAAAATAATCTTTAATAAGTAAAATTTTGAAATTTTCATTCAACGTCATGTGTACATAGGTAATAATACTATAGTATTCAATAGTTTGGGCCTCACATATCAAATGTTTAGTCACAAATTGAACTATATGAAAATAAAAACACCTAAATTCAACTTAATCATACAATATTAATGTTGGGGAAGTGATTTATCGAACAAAACACATTCGAACACTTTAAAGGGCCAACTCCCGAAGCGTAGGCGGTTCACAGTTATAACTACGTTTTAACAACGAAAAACAATGCAGAATATAAAACAACAATAAGACAAGGTGTTTGTTGACTCGGTTTGATTATCAACCAATCTACATCCGGGGGATACCAATCTAGGAGGAATTCTACTAACCAGTGCTGATTAAGGACACAAACAACCACAACTCATTTAACTCTAATGCTAGTCATGGCTAACTCAGAAAAATACCTCATAAGGTTCTCGTTGCTACAACATCATACTAACAACGACCACACAGCAGAGAATTCCAGAGCTTGATCATTCCCTCCGGTTGGAACTCCATTAATTCTGAACACCTTCGACCTCTCCGGCGAATTTTTCTGTCAAAAACTCATTCAAAACTAAAGGGATTCGATATGGATAGATGGGTGAGAGCTTCACTCAATATTCTTCTCTAAAAAATATGATCTCCAAATCACACATTACCAATCTTCAACCCTATCCGGTTGAGTAAATCACTAACATTCCTGGAATAAAAGATTCCACACTAATTTTCCTTTGCACCATAATGGAAGGAGTGAATTTCCATATTTTGATCTTTCCTCAAATATGTCTTTTGTCTTTTGGAAAATCTTTGCTGCAGAAATTAAGACACCATTAGTTCATATGCCAAAATAACTTAGGGGAATTTCCATTCACATTCTCCCCCTTTTTGGCATATGAAACCACAAATAAAAGTGCAGGAATTAATCTACTCACGCACTCAATTATCCAAGAGTGAGTTCAACTATTACATGCCAACAAACATAAAAAGGCTACAGACAGCCTTCACAATGATATGGGTGCTATCACTTCGGACTTCCAACGAAAATAGTAACAACAGATAAAATCAACAATCAGCAAAGCAGACAACATCAGAACTTGGGCAACTCCCCCTGAAAATATGATCTCCCATTTTCCTGCATTACTCCCCCTTCGTGGGAGCAGATGACAAAAAGAACAAGTACCTTCAATTTGCTGAGAAATGGTTGCAGTAGCAACTTTATCACTGTCACCAGCAACTGTTCCAACAATATCATCAAGAATTTCAGTTGCTTCACAAACAATTTCACTTGTTCCATTTTCAGGAATTCTTTCTCATTTGGTCCACTGAAAAATACTTGCAGCAGCAACATCAACATCAACATCAACAGCAGCACCAACATGAACAACAACATCAAATTCGGTTGTTCGACATCAGATTTGTTACAGTAACAACTTCGCAACATCAGCAATGATTTGTACAACAACACAAGGCCTAGAAATTTTTCAAAATCCAGTGTAGGACTGAAATGTCCTCCACGTCGAATCAATCCATAACCAAAACATCAACCATGGCATCAAATGTGACTCTTGCCATTGCTCAATAAAAGTCTCTTCGCAACACTTCTTCTTTTTGGATTTTTCAAAAAAAATCTTTTCAAATTATTTTCATTATCCAATATTTACCAAGAATATCCCAATCAATATAAATACATTGGAGAATTTATCAAGCACCAATGCATGAAAAATCAAGTAGGGTACGAATACATACCCAATTGACGACCAAACTTTTCAAACTGATTTGCATCCAACTCCTTTGTAAGAATGTTTGCCTTTTGATTTTTCTTGGGCATCCACACCAATCTGACTTTAACATTTTGTTTGAGTTCTTCAGTAGGCCACTGAATATTTCTACCATTCATAATGTCCTCCGCCAATCTGAAACATTTTTCAGCAGTATGTCCAAGACATCTGCAGTATCCGCAGTCGTTACGTCGTGATGACATCTGTCTAACACCCTGTGTCTTGCGATTTTCATTCCAATATCTGTTTTTGTTCTTCTTCAAATTCTGCTTCACCATCGAAACTGATTTGTTCTCTGGAATTTCAACATCAGCAAGAAGTCCACCCCGGACAAATGTAGTAGGTTTTCTATGTGAGGATTCACAAAAACCTATTCCCTTGTGATCACCAAAAGGTTTTCCAATCGAAAGTACTTCATCCAATTTCTCACCAAAATGTTTTCCAATCGAAAGTACATTTTCAGCCTTTAATTTCAGCTTCAGTTGATTTCTCATGAACATCCTTCTTGAAAATTTCAATTTCATCATCCAACTTTTCTTTTCCTTTTCGAAGACGATCATTCTCATCTTTTAGCCTCAGATTTTCATTCCTCAAAGCATCTGATTCAGTTGATTTAACAGCAACATCCTTCTTCAGAACTTCGATCTCATCTTCTAATTTATCATTCTGAGCTTCCAATCGATAGATGGTATCAAGTAGTTCTTTGTTCTTCACCACAAATTTCTTTTGCTCTAACACCATCTCCTCATAGGCTTCAATCAACTCATCAGCATCAAGTTCTATGGATTCCTCTGAAGCTTTATCAGTAGAAGCACCATCATCTTTAATAGATTCATATTCATCGGCCATGAAAGCAACAACTTCATCATCTTCAGCTTGTTCCTCGACACAGACAGTTTACTTTTCATCATTGTCACTCCATGTTGCTTGATATGCTCTTTTATCCCTTTTCTTCATTGTTGGATATTCAGACTTGATGTGACCGATTCCTCCACATCCATAGCATGTTGGCTCTTTGAAAGATTTAGGTTTAGGGGACACAGTGAACTTCTTCTTGCATCCACTATCAAACTTCTCTTTTGGCTTGCTGTAATTTGATGGTTTCTGTTCAGAGTATTTCCGTTGTGAGCTAGACGTACTCACACCCTGATAACCACCACGGTTCTGAAACTTCCCATATTTCATCTTTGCTGCACGTTTCTCACTAATCATCCTTGAAAGTTTTCGACTCAGAAATGCCATTTCCTCATCAGATTCGATCAGCTCCATGTCCTCCACACTTAAGGACATGCTTTTTGGAGTTTCATCTTCAAGATAATTAATTTCATAGCTCACCAATGTACCATATAATTCATCCAACGTCATATTTTTCAGCTTTGGTGGTTCATCGAGCATAATCACCTTTGGTCTGAAATTTTTTGTGAGACTTTTAAGCATCTTTCTCACCAGCCTCTTTTTTTCAAAGTGCATTCCAAGAGCTCATGCTTGATTGACAACATCCATAAAGCGATTATAGTAAACAGCGATTGTTTCGTCCTCATTCATCTTCATTCCTTTGAACAATGTCTCTACATGATCTAGTTTAGATTCTCGGACTTGCGCTGAACCTTCGAATGCATTTTCCAAAATGTCCCAAGCTTCTTTGGCAATTTTGCAGTTTGATATAAGCTTCGCCTGAGTTTCATCCACAATATTAAAAATCGAAAATAGGGCCTTCGAGTTTGCTATTCCAGCAGCTTTTTCATTCAACGTCCATTCTCTCTTCGGTTTCTTCACAAGAGTAGTAACACCATATTCATCTTGAATGGTTTTCATAGGATGAGACCATGCACACTCAACAGCATCAGAAATGTCTTCACCTTGAAGCATCAAAAAGGCTTCCATTTTATTCTTCCATCATTGGTAATTTGTCCCATCGAACAATGGAGGTCTTGATGTTGAACGTCCTTCCTTACTCATGTCTGCAACTGTGACCAGATCTACTCAATGAATTAGAGAACACTGCTCTGATACAAAATGTTGGGGAAGTGATTTTTCGAACAAAACACATTCGAACACTTTAAAGGGCCAACTCCCGAAGCGTGGGCGGTTCACAGTTATAACTACATTTCAACAACGAAAAACAATGCAGAACATAAAACAACAATAAGACAAGGTGTTTGTTGACCCGGTTCGATTATCAACCAATCTACATCCGGGGGATACCAATCCAGGAGGAATTCCACTAACCGCTGATTAAGGACACAAACAACCACAGCTCATTTAACTCTAATGCTAGTCATGGCTAACCCAGGAAAATACCTCATAAGGTTCTCGTTGCTACAACATCGTACTAACAACGACCACACAGCAGAGAATTCCAGAGCTTGATCATTCCCTCCGGTTGGAACTCCATTAATTCCGAACACCTTCGACCTCTCCGGCGAATTATTCTGTCAAAAACCCATTCAAAACTAAAGGGAATCGATATGGATAGATGGATGAAAGCTTCACTAAATATTATTCTCTCTAAAGTATGATCTCCAAATCACACATTACCAATCTTCAACCCTATCCGGTTGAGTAAATCACTAACATTCCTGAAATAAAAGATTCCACACTAATTTTCCTTTGCACCGTAATGGAAGGAGTGAGTTTCCATATTTTGATCTTTCCTCAAATATGTCTTTTGTCTTTTGGAAAGTCTTTGCTGCAGAAATTAAGACATCATTAGTTCATATGCCAAAATAACTTAGGAGAGTTTTCATTCACAATTAATATACCATGAGATATGAAGTAAATTACAATATAATAAAATTGAATGTGTATGGGAAAAAATTTCATACATAATAACTCACTACACCATTCTTTCTAGTTTTTTGAAACACCTCAAATCACCACAAAATGATTTAGTAAATCATTCCATGTAGGTTGTAGGTATACAATAAATCAAATAATAATAATAATAATAATAATAATAATAATAATGTTATACTATAACACGTAGGGTGTGTTTGTTTTGTGAAATAGTCGCAAAGAAAATTTTTTTATGTGAAATATAAAGGAATTGTGTATAAAATATAAAAATAATGAATATTTGTAATATATTAATTTTTTTGAGAAAATGTGTAGAAAAAAAAAAAACCCGTAATGTCTATATTTATAAATTGTGGATACATTAAAGTACACACATGGCATAATATTATGATTGCGTAATGCTTTATGGTACTATATAAATACCCTTATGTATTAACATTAATGTGCAATCAAGAAAAGATAATAAAATTCAAACATATATATATATATATGCAATAAAGAGAGATTGCACAGTCAAGAAAGAGAGAAATGGTGTAAATTACACCTATTGCATGCATATCTATTATATATACATCCACACGTTACACACATCTATATATATATATCTACTTTATATTATACTTTATATATAATATATAAAATAGTGGTTAGTGGTAAAAGTAATTAATATTTCTATTGACTAATCTTATAATAATATTACAATATGTTATCAGCACAATTATATATTTTAATTTTCGCAAAATATGGATGTAAAATATTTTGGAGTCGATGACAATATATGTCTTATCGACAGTGCAACGACTCATAGCATTTTGAAAAACAAAAGTTATTTCTCTCATCTGAATATGAGAAAGACCACTATTGTTACTATCAGTGGTGCATCGAAAATGATTGAAGGCTCGGGAAAAACTATTGTATTTCTCCCAAAATGGACAAAACTGACAATTGAAAATTCCTTGTTCTCGAGCAAACCTTGAAGGTATCACATTAAAATATGTAGAAAATGAGTATCTCATGATAACTCAGATTGTGAATGGCAAACGAATTGTGAAAGAAAAATTGTCATCATTTTCTTCCGGCTTGTATTATTCAAAAGTCAGTGTCATTGAAACATATCACTTAGTAGACCAAATAGCTACTAACAAATTTAAAACTTGACACGATCGACTTGGGCATCCTGACAATGTACTGTTGAGGCGAATTGCTGAAAATTCAAATGGTCACTCATTGAAAAAGAAAAATATTTTGAGTCCGAATGAATTTGCTTCTGCTGCATGTTCCCAAGGAAATTTAATAATCATGCCATCTTCAACAAAGATTGAATTTGAATCACCAGCTTTTCTGAAAAGAATTCAGGGTGATATTTGTGGACCTATAGATCCACCGTGTGGACCGTTCAAGTATTTTATGGTACTAATTGATACGTCAACGCGATGGTCACACATATGTTTGTTATCTACTTGCAATCTAACTTTTCCTAGACTATTTGCACAAATAATTAAATTGCGAGGGCAATTTCCAGATCACCCGATAAAGAAAATACGTTTAGATAATGGTGGAGAGTATTCATCGCATACATTTGATGATTACTGCATGTCAGTTGGGAATAATGTGGAACATCATTTTCTCCATGTACATACGCAAAATGGTCTCACTGAATCCCTTATCAAAAGATTGCAATTAATTGTTAGACCATTGTTAATGAGGTCTAAACTTCCCGTATCAGTTTGGGTATATGCTATATCGCATGCAGTAGCCTTCGTGAAAATAAGGCCGACAAGTTATCACTGTTAATCCCCTAGTCAATTGGTATCTGGAAAGTACCATAGATATCTCATATGCGAATTTTTTGGTGTGTCTTTTATATGCCAATTACGCCACCTCAACACACAAAAATAGGACCTCAAAGAAAGTTGGGTATATATCGGGTCTGAATCATCCTCGATTGCAAAATATCTTGAACCAACAAAGGGTGATTTGTTTACTGCAAAGTTTGCAGACTGTCACTTTGATGAAATTCATTTTCCGACATTAGGGGGAGATAGTAATCAACTGAAAAAAGAATTTTCGAGGAAAATACCATTTGAATTTGATCATCGTACGAAACATAGTGAACTTGAAGTTCAAATAATTTTGCATTTGCAGAAAATTGTAAATCAATTGTTTGATGCTTTTAATGACGCTACAAGAGTTACAAAATCATATATTGCAGCAGAAAATGCACAGGCTAAAATAAACATCCCAGAAAATGAAGGTGCAAAGTGCTAATGAGCATACTGCCCACGTAAAATGTGGCAGACCGTTGGGTTCCAAGGATAAAAATCCACAAAAGAAAAAAAATGTAAAAACTGGTGAAGATATCAACAATGCTCAGATACATGAAAAGGTCAGTACAACCACTAAAGAGGTTGATACTAAAAATTTTAATGGAAGTGATAATGAATTTATTGAAACTTCTGTTAACTATACCACAAGTGGAAAATATTGGAATAGAAAGAAAACAAATATTGATAATGCATTTGCATATTCTGTAATACTCGACATAATGAAAGATGACGAGGATTAAGAACCAAAATCAGTTGATAAATATCGGCAAAGAGATGATTGAACAAAATGGAAAGAGACAATTCAATCTGCATTGGACTCATTGAAAAAACAGCAAGTATTTAGCCCCATAGTCCAAACACCTGTAAATGTAAAACCTGCTGGCTACAAATGGGTGTTTGTGAGAAAAAGAAATAAAAATAATGATATAATAAGATATAAAGCAAGACTTGTAGCCCAGGGTTTTTCCCAGAGACCGGACATTGATTTTGAAGAAACATATTCGTCGGTCATTGATGTAATAACATTCAGGTATCTGGTGAGCCTGACAGTACACAATAATCTTGATATGCGATTAGTGGATGTTGTTATTGTCTTTATGGCTTCTTAGACAATGATGTCTATATGAAAATCTTAGAATGGATTAACATACATGAATCATTCAAATCAAAGCCAAAAAAATCATATTTCATTAAATTACAAAAATCTTTGTATGAGCTCAAGCAATT